TAGTTTTTACCTTCCTCAGAAGCCTTGAGCAGACACTGGTCTTTCTGTGGATATCTATAGACTTTATGGTCCTTCATATGGCAGAGCAGTCTTTCCAAGATTTGATGGCGACAATTAGGTTTTTGCCCATTTGTTGTTGTTGTTTATTTGTTTTCAGCACATGGAATTCTATCTATCCATCCATTTATTTTATCTTAACTTTGAGAAACTCTCATTTTACATTTAAACTCTTCTGTATTTTTCCTAGAGTGCCTGATTTATCACAACTTAAAAACTATGGTATATCTTGTTTAGGGAAATGCAATTATTTGGTCAACCGACTTCTTTATAAGCTTAAATTTCTCAGTGTCAAAATCTTGCATAAGTTGGTATTGCAGTGATCCAGCCCTAAGTCTAGCACCAGATTCTTTATTTTATCATATTTCCAACTAATTAAGTCATTTTTTAATGTGAAAGTGCTCCCAAGGAAAACCTTTTTCTGCTCCTGTACATATGGTATGCCTGAAACCTACAATTAAAAAACAGAACTAAAATGCCAGGAGTGAATTTTTATTTCTTTTAAGCTTTTTTTGATATTTTTATTTTAATTAAGATTTAATTACATACTATTGGCTTTCTTTCCCTTACTTGAGTCCTCTCATTTCTTAGTTCCTAGCTTCTCCCATGTCTACCTGCTTACTTCTTTTAAAACCATGAAGTCTTGTTTTCCACCAACTTTTTATCTTAATAAATAAAACACATTTCTTCTTTACTCCTAAATTTTTTTCCTTCCACAAAACATGCTGTGATTTCACAAACTCTAAAGCTAAATAGACCAAAAATAGGAATATCTCCACACAGATATGATCTGTCCTGGCCGATTACAATGCTATTACAAATCTAATTCAGAATGGCTATCAATCTATCACTCTACATTTCAGTTAATACACAGATACACTATTCATCATTTATAAAAGGATGTACCTATTTGTATATATGTATGATTATTATTGTCCTTAACTTTATTGTGTTTATTTGTAGAATGGAATGTTACCTTTCTGATGATCTCATAATTCTATGAAGTAGGATATTAGAGTGCAGTCTTGTTTGCTCTTTCCCATCCAGTATTTCTGCTTTCATTATTTCAATTTAAAAGGTACGTGTTCTCCAGAGAGCTGTCTTAGATGAACAGACACATGGGATGCTCTGTTAAAAGGAGCTGGAACTACAGCTCAGTCTGGATCCATCCCAGATGGAGCAATGATTAGTGGTCCTCTGAGGTCAGGGTCCATTTCCCAACTTGTGGGACCTAAATTGCTTTTAGTGAGAATAATTATCATGAATTGTCTTTTGAGAAAATTAATAAAGATATTGTTTCTTTAATGTGTTCTGAATACTTTATTTAGTATATTTGCTGAATGTATCCAGAAATATTCTTATCGTGAGTCTTCCTGATGTTAATAACTTGGATAATGTTTTTGTTTTCTAACCCTTCCTCTAAAAGTTGTACCTTGTATCTGATTTCTTATTGTAGATCTCCATTTTTTAGATATTATTATATATGAAAATCTTACTTTCTATACTCTTATTCAGTACATTTCTTCTACTCAATAGGATTCTAGTTTGTTCCTTTTCATATTCTTACCTTTCTCAACAATTCATAACTAGTTGGTTTCTTACAAAATCATATTGTCTTCTTTTACTGGCAGCAATCCAAAGACAAACTATTTCATTGACCTAAACTTCTTTTTATCCTCTCTGACTTCACTCTAGCCTTTAAGTAACACGAAAGTCATGTACCTTGTCCCACATAAGCCAATTCATATGGAGCACAATTTCCCCTCTCGTCTAACAAAAGAGAGAAAATAATTTCTTCTAGTCTATAGTTTGAATATAAAACACTCCTTTACAGGCACATGCATTGGGTCCTAGTGATTAGTTCTCTTTCGGGAGGCTCTAGATCTCAAAGGCACTCAGTCCAGCAGGAAGAATATCACTGGAAACTAGGGGTAAGTCTCAGGTGATGTCATGGTTCTGCCTTTCTCTCTCTTCTTGTACATGGCCATTTATTCTCCTCCCTTTCCTCCGTCTCTCAGTTCCCTGAATGCTGTCATGCCATTCTGGGCCATATGCTGTCATTAGGCTTTTATTTTCCTAATTGTGGTTTATGTGTTTTTTTCTAGATGTCACAGAACAAAATTGCAGCACATGAACAGTTTTCTAAAGTTCTTGAAACAATGATACATCTTATGGCATGAGGGATTTTTCTCTCACATCCACAAACTTTTACTAATTAATTTTTAACTCATTTCCTTTATTGTTGTTTTATCTTATTTTATTTTAAAATTATTTAATTACATTTTCCATATGTACTAACCCAGTTAACACAATTCAAAGCTTCAATATATCTTCCTTTCTCCAAATGTAAAATTTGGCATTGTAGAGTCACTAGGTTGGGGAATTTTATCTTCTCTACAACTCCTATATTTTTTCTGACCACTAAACACTGCTTTCCTTTCTTGTTCTTTAAACAAGCTGAGCAACAGTTTTTTTATTGTATGTCTAAAACTAAATTTTAAGTTTCCTATCTTTTCCATGATATTTTTTCTTTGCCTGCATTAAATTGTGAATTTATTACCAACTAGATCTTCTTATTTTCATGATTTAATTAGTTTTAAATGTGTATGTCAATTGATGTTAGGCTGTTTCCAAGAGAATCCCTCTCCAACAAATAGGCATTGTGTAACATAGTATCCTTACACTTCAATAGACTCCTACCATACAAGAACATAGTGGAAATGCAGTATTTAGTCACTACATTTTTTGTTTCTCATCTTTATTAGTTCTTTGATAATTTCATATAAATTTGATCACATTTGCAATACTCTCCCAACTTCTCCAAGATTCTCCCCAATTGCTTAGTTACCTAACTTTGCATGTTCATTTCTCTTTGTTTGTTTTAAACCCATCTAGTAGAGTTTTTGCTGTCTATATGCACTGATATGTGTGGCTTGCAACTGCAGCATTCTCTATCTAATAGGAGCCACATCATTAAAAACCTGATTGTCTTACAGTAGCTATAAAAATATTTTTTCAAAAATATGTAGATTATACTATAATTATATAATTTCCCTATTCCCATCTTTTCCACATCAGAATCTTTCACAAATACTCATTAGAACTATGGCAAATCAATCACCTAATTACATGTGTAAATGTAAAAATATATTTATTTATTATGATTGACAAGCAACAGATACTATTTTTAGGATGCATGATCAATTTGCTTTTATTTAATAACAGGATGTTATCTCTTACATTAGATAGACAGCAAACATTAGAATTGAAAACCTTTTAATATGCCAATTTTTCTTTGAAAATATCTTAACTGAAAGATATTCTTAAATATCAGTGTTTTGTTTTACCATTACATAAACTGATTCACAGACAAGTGTTTTAGAAAAAATAAGTTCTAATAACTGATAGTTTGTAGATTTCAAGATGGGCAATATTGACTTTTGTGGCCATTCTTAGTAATTTTGGATATGTGGGCATATCTAATCATAACCAAGAAAATGTAAAAGTATGGTAAATTAAGTTTATAAAAATAAATAAGAATTGCAAAGAAAAATGTTTTTATAATTTCTTTTTTTTTTTTTGAAAGAAAGGCAATTTTATTAAAAAGAAAAACAACAAAAGGGAGATGGGACCAGAGCACAGGTTAGTCCATCTAGAGCACAGGTTAGTCCATCCGGGCCTTCAGCGTTCTGGTAGTGATCTTGTCTTTCTCAATGATGTGGACAACAATGCCCATGCCTGAGACGGCATCCCGGTCCACAGCGTTCAGCATGGCCTGGGAAATGGTTTCAAACAGGTGCTCTGGATCCATGTTGGGCTCCCAGAGAGACTCACACATCCCGTACATCTGTTCGGAGCAGGTACCACTGACTACAAAGTCGTCCGTCACCATGGGACAGCCAATGAGGTCCAGAGAGCAAATGAAGGGCTTAAAGGTCTTCGGGTCCAGGCCAGCAATGACAGGCTCTGTGTAGTAGGGACCAAACCGTTTCTCATACAAGAGGTTGGCCACCATGCTCATGAGGGTGTAAGGCTTGATCTGCCGACCTTCCTTCAGCTCATACAGGTTCAGTCGGAACTTGAGACGCTGGGCAACTGTCTGGACGTCAGTGGCCAGGCCGGCCAGGCCTATGTAGAGCCTGTCACCCATGGGAAAGATCTTCTGGAAGTCCGTGGTCACCATCTGGGCCTGGATCCCGAAACGCCTGTCTGCAGCGATGGCCACACAGTTCTTTCCTTTCATGGCCATGACGGCCCCTCCATTATAGGACATAATAGACATGATTGCGATGTATTGGGAGCACGACCACTACTGAGTTGCCTGCAAACCCTTTTTTTTATTTCTTAATGTAGAGCAAGTGTATCTAGTAGTAGGGAATATAAGATCATCAAAGAATTCTTGAGGAAGTTATAGCTTTTAAAGAATCGACTATAACAATAATGTGAAAACAACAAGAAAAGGAAATGTTATAATAATTTAAAATATTATTAAACCTCTGGAGAAGGTTTTTATTGGATTTTATTTAGATTTATTAAAAGAATTTCTAGATTTACATTATATTTCAAAATTTCAGGAAGACTTCTGGGAGGTATCTTCAGAAGACATTTATTTTAACATTACAATCTCTGTTGTTAAGGTTACAAACTGCCACTTCTACATGATGTGTATATAACTATATTAACTATAACTGAAAAGGCAAAATACACGTTATTTCAAGGAATGCTGATTAAAGAGTCGGAGGCAACATATCAGAACTTCTAAGCTGAAATAATAAGATTTTTATGTGTGACAGTAGGGCAGGCTTGCAGCATCAAATGTACCAGCAAAGAGAATCAAACAGCCAAATAAATATTGAATAAATGTTTTGCTTTGTGTTTTTAGTGAAAGAACTTTTGGATTGGTCTTTTGATTGGTTTCATAAATCAGTGGTTTTATAATTACTTTATGCTTTTTTAGATGTTAAAATTTGGAGAAAACGTTCTCTGATTGTCTTGGTTCTAATGCCATAGATCATTGGGTTTGCTAAGGGGGGAACAAGGAGGTAAATATTAGCCACAAAGATATGAATGTGAGGGGCCACATTATGACCAAACCTGTGAGTAAGGAAGGAGAAAAAGGCTGGAGTATAGGCTACTAAGATAACACAAACATGTGATCCACATGTGCCCAAGGTCTTCAGCCGAGCTGCTTTGGATGGAAGACGAAAGACAGTATAAAGGATGACAATATAGGAGCATATGATCAATATGAAATCTAAACCACCTGTTAGGAAGGCAGCAGTTAGACTGTATAATCTGAAAATCCGGGTCTTTGCACAGGCCAACTTGATTAGAGCCATAAATTCACAGTATGTATGAGGGATGGTATTTGTTCTACAGTAGGGAAGCCAGCGAAGCATAAATGGTTGAGGACTGAAAAGCAACACTCCACGGAAGACAATCACTATCCCCAAGTTCCAGATGACACTGTGAGTCAGGATAGTGGAGTGTCTCAGAGGGTTGCAGATAGCTACATAGCGGTCCAAGGCCATGGCCAAGATAAACCCTGAAGCCATACTGCATAGTGAGTGAATGAGAAAAACCTGTATCAGGCAGGCTTCAAAATGAATCTCTCTGTCATGAAACCAAAAATTGCTGAGAATTTTAGGCATGGCAGTCGTGGAAAGGATCAGATCTGTCACAGAGAGCATACAGAGGAAGAAATACATGGGCTCATGCAGATTGGAATCTATTCTGACAATAAAGAGAATAGAAAAATTCCCTAAAAGAGCACCCAGGTAAACAAGGCAGAAAGGCACTGATAACCATGTGTGTATGGCTTCCATTCCTGGAATGCCAAGGAGAAGAAAGATCCTGGGGTGCAGATTGGTAATATTTGACAATGGCATGATAGAATCCACTTGCTGCATTCTTTTGAAGAAAAGTGTAGAGTCTTCACATCCATCTGTCCATTAATAAACAGATTATATAAAACACTTAACATGTTTTATTCCAAGATTAAATTAAGAATAGAATCATTTTCCAACTTGGAACATCACCAGTATATTAGGGGCAGTATTTGGATAATCTAATGATTATCTTCCTCTGCAACAGTAGCTTTCAAAGTCATATGAGCAAGTACTTTCCATGACTCAAAAGATGAATGAATTGACTGATTCATAGATAAGATGCTTGATCCTTGTCCCCAAACATCCTGGGCATTTAAATTAAAAAGAAAAATATAAATTTTAAAAATGCAAAACCAGAAGACATAATTTTAATTTCTAAGACAACAAAAGAACTATATTTCTGTTTGTAGACCAGGATAAAGTACATATTTTAAAACCTTCAAATACAATTTTTATATACTTTTCATGTATGATGTATTGATTTGAAAGATGCATACATGATATAATAGATATTACTCAGTGGTTGATGCTTGTATATGATAGCCAGAACTAGAATTCCCAGAATCTATGTAAATGCAAGGTAGACATGGCATTCGTCTGTATATCCAGCCTACAAAGACATGGGCACAGATTCCGCAGAGAAAGCTGGGTACCTAAACTAAGGATGCCAGGGTTTGATTGAGTGTAGGTGAAAGAATGGTCAGGATGATTCTGGATGTCAACTTTCAGGCTCCATCAACACATATGGCATGTGTGTGCCAATACCCCAATGCATATGCAAACATGCACAAACTTTCATGCACACCATACACACACACACACACACACACACACACAAGCACATAAGCACACTAATTTGTATGATTAAATTAAATTAATTTATCACATGATAATAGACTCTTTTGGATCAAACTGTCTTAAAATATCTTGTAGCAACTTTTAAAAACAAAATACATGATTAGTCAGGCTGTGCTTTAATCCCAGAACTAGGGAGGCAGAAGTAGGCAGAATTCTGTTAATTGGAGCCCAGCATACAGAGCAAGCTCCGGGACAGCCAAGGCTACACACAGAAACCCAATCTCAACAAACAAACAAACAAACAAACAAACAAAAACAAGCAAGCAAACAGACAAACAAAAAACATGATTATTAGCTATAGTTTCCACACAGTACAATAGATACGCAACTCATTTTGTTTTCCTTGGCTGACTTTTCCTTCAAATCTTAGTTGGAACTCAAATAATGATGAGTTAACTTTTATGAATGCCATGTATTTGAGATCATGTGACATTTGTACTATACAATACATAGATGAGCCTATCATGAAAATTGTTATTTGGTAAATGCAAGTTTCTGCATATTATACTTATATTGAGTCCTTTAAATGGAGGAAACCACACATAATCTCTACCCTATATATAAAGAACTATCACCAACTAAGGAAGTTTGAGTGTGGGAGAAATAATCTTTCTCAGGGAAGGGTCTTCCAATTGATTATCTAATATAAAATGATCACCACTGAAAAAATATACATACAAGTAACATTATAAAGGCTGAGATGCCTATACTTTGGAATATAAATGCATATGATATATGTATATAGGGACAATTAATAATAAATAGGGCAATTTGAAAGAACAAATAGGTGTATATGGGAGGGTTTGGATGGAGGATGGAAGGGAGAAGTTATATAACTATAGTAAAGTCTCAAAGAGACAAGAAACAAAGGACCTTTTGCATATCCCTTAACACAATGGAGAGTCTGAAACATTACAGATTTGTCAGCAGAGTTTAAAAACAGAACATGAAAGACATATGATAAAATATTGCTTATTCATTAAAAAAATCTCAGGAATTTTATATGATATATTTCTGTAGTAGAAATAATATTCTATGCCCCAAATGCAAGGGCACCTACATACATAAAAGAAACTTTACTAAAGCTCAAAACACACATTACACCTCACACAATAATAGTGGGGGATTTCAACACCCCACTCTCAGCAATGGACAGATCATGGAAACAGAAACTAAACCGAGACACTTTGACATTAACAGAAGTTATGAACCAAATGGACTTAACAGACATCTATAGAACATTTCATCCTAAAACAAAAGAATATACCTTTTTCTCAGCACCTCATGGTACCTTCTCCAAAATAGACCATATAATTGGTCACAAAACAAGCCTCTACAGATACAAAAAGATTGAAATAATCCCTTGCCTCTTATCAGATCACCATGGAATAAGACTGGTCTTTAATAATGACAAAACCAATGGAAAACCCATGTGCACATGGAAACTGAACAACTCTCTACTCAATGATGACTTGGTCAAGGAAGAAATAAAGAAAGAAATTAAATACTTTTTAGATTTCAATGAAAATGAGGACACATCATACCAAAACTTGTGGGACTCCATGAAGGCAGTGCTAAGAGGAA